GGCTTGATAACAGTTGGTTGCAGCCTTATCCATTGATGGCAGTGGTGCAGAAAAACAAAAATAAAGTGCAGCCAGTATTAGACTATCGAGAGCTGAATGAGTGTCTCAACACACATGCAGCCAATGCTGACGTGTGCGCACAGAAACTGAGGGAGTGGTGTAAAGAAGGACCGATGTCGCTATCCTTGACCTATGGCAGGCCTATTTACAAGTACATATCCAAAAGTCACTTTGGCCCTTTCAAACTGTAATCTTCAAGGGCAAAGATATTGCTTGACCTGAATGGGTTTCAGGTTGAATGTTGCACCAGCCATAATGAAGGCCATTGTGGATGCCGCGTTGGCGAAAGACGAGTCCATTCGACGGGCAACCTCATCATATATTGATGACATTTATGTTGACGAGAGCATGATTTCAGCAGCTCGTGTGAAAGAGCACTTGGCTGCATTTGGTTTGACCTGCAAGGATCCGGAGCGGTTACAGGACGCCACATGTGTGCTGGGTTTGCACGTCGCGGAAGATAACAACATGCTTAAGTGGACACATGAAAATGGCATTCCATCAGTTCCTGAGGTCCTGACATGACGTAACGTTTTGTGTGGAAAAATGGTGGGTCACGTTCCTGTGTGTGGGTGGCTTCATGTTGCTGCATCATTTGTAAAATGCAGGACAGTATCGATTACGTCTGGTTGGGACGACGAAGTGACAGATGCTCCCCTTAAATAAGGTGCAAAGTATACTTTTTAGATTAATAAAGCAAGAGCTTTTAGCTTCGTTAATACTTCAATATTAATAGCGCTCATCATGTTTAGAATTTATATAATGAACAGTGAATTTTCCTGTTTCTTTGTTTTTCAGCTTATAACATTCTTCAAAAAGAGAACAGATGCTACACTTGGTATTTACTTGACCCCTCATGGTGACAGGATATGGTACAAGGACATGCACATGAGCTAAGGACTAAAAATTGCCCAGTTCCTGTAACTAATATCATGTTGGCATCAATATTCCACCAATCCTCCCTCTTTGGTGCAATAAGGGAGGTGCTGCTGTGGGGTGGAAATGCCCAGGACCGGCCATCCATTATTTATTTGTTATGTTCTGTTCGAAGGCAGAAACCCAATTGAGAGATAAAATGTAGTTTGTCCACCCATGTGCAGATACTACTGTATTTACTCATATACCTCACCTACCAAGGTATCAGCATATAAGATATAGTTGATTTCACATAGTGTAACCAAATGGGCCAAGAGTAAAATATGCCCAGTCTCTGAGATGACTGTCATGCAAGTAAAAGCCTGCACTTACCACCCGCTTATAGTAATAAAGGTATTGCAACAGAGTTGAAATCCCCGTCTTCCTTCATTGTTAGTCTTCCTTCATTGTTAATTACCTGAAAACAGAAATACATGCTGATGTCCAAAACTATAGTGAATGAATATCACAGAGGAAATGGAGCAGGTACAATACTTTCGACTAAGCCATTGGACCATCAAGATACATTTTGGTATTAAATTCTAACAATAGACAACAGATACTACGCTTTAATTTCACTTTTATTTCTTTTCTAACAAATCATTTCATAAAAATTCAAGAGTTAATGGGTAATAAGAGTTTTTTTCATGGGTAATAACTATTATTATAAAATAAAATATGTATTAAATAAATAATAAATAAGTATTAAGAAAGAAAAGACAGTACTGTATCTAACCATACAAAGATTAAGGACAAGACTGGAATAATTTTTTTAATGCCTATATCTCTGGCTTTTGTAGAATTAAATGTGTGAGGGGAATCACTGCTTTTCTGTCTTTTTTAGAAAGATAATTGAAATGAACAAAAAAAAAATAGAAGTTATTTTATGAATTAGCCAGAGACAATGTAAAATTTATAGAATCAAAAAATTTGTAACAGACTATAATTATTTTTAATATAAATAGGACCCACTGGTAAGACCAAAATTAGATTTTCTGTTCTGTCCAAGTTAAACCAGAGGCTGACATATGAAGTACAATGAATTAATTTTTTGTAATGTGTTAATCTCAGATCTTCATCACCATTTTTCCAACTTGTTAATATTGTAAATATCCATTTCCCATTCTTTGACTAATAGATTTAAGGTAAGCTCTATATTAGGAAGAAACATTTTACCTAAGGTAAAGTCTCTGATAGGATTTGCTAAAAAAAAAATTTGCAACAATCAGATTTATAGCATGACATGGTATCTACAGCTCTGATAATGCTATTATGCAAATCATTAAAATGTTGATTATATCTGAAGTATTCATTGGAGAGGATATTGGTTAACTACCAGTTTGACCTAACAGGCAGTTGGCTCTCCCAATGTGTTCCTGGGTGAAGCTATAGTGGATATTGTGATTTGAGGCTGGATTTTAGTGGATTACACAATGACTGGTTACCACTGCTCTGAACATTGTATTTTTGATTTTTGTATTTTTTGAAAAGATAGAAAACAACAGAATGGAAAAAGGAAAAGTTTGAAGTAAAGAGAAAAATTGTAAATATTTTAGCAGAAGGGATTACCGTAAGCAATATTGCAATGTTTATTAAGAAGGATGTGCAGACAATCAAGAACGCAATTTCTAACATTAGTTGTACCCAGAAAACAAGATTTGATGCTGGTAAAAGGAACATAACAAAGCAAGCAAACTATCTGTTAACTCGGACTTTGAAGAAAAATCTGTTAGGATCTAGCAAGAAGATATTTCAAGAATCTGGAGTAACTAGAACAAACAGAGCTACAAGGAATGATATCCTGATTGAGCTTGCAAAAGTTGTTAAAGTCCAATCAAGCCATCCTTTATCAAAATCTAACATCAGAAAAATAATTTCATGTGCAAATGCCTACATGAAATGCAATTTCAGCTCTGCTTTATTCACAGATGAATGTTGAGCTACTCTCAACAGTCCTGACACCTTCGCCAGAGGGTGGTTGACAGAGGACAGTGTATGCCCAACCCACTTCAGATGTCAGCAAGGTGGAGGTAAAGTTATGTTCTGGGCAGCAATAATCAGTGACACTATTGTTGGACCCTTCTTTGTAGAAGATGGACTTGAAAATGAATAGCGAAAATTATGTCAAATTTTTTAACTCAAAGCTTATACCCTGGTACAATAAAAAATCACAAAGTTTCAAATCCAAGATGATTTTCATGCAAGGCAAGGCCCCATCGCATGCAGCTAAGTTAACAAAGGCATTTCTAGAGCAAAAAGGATTCAAAAGCTAAATGGTTTTATGGAATGACTGCCTCAATCTCCAGGCCTCAACCGCATTAAGAATCCTTGACAAATTGTTAAGCAGAAACTATATGAAGGAGGAAAGCCATACAGCAACAAAGAAGAACTGAAACAACAAATAATGAATGTGATCTCCAACATAACTCCATGTACAATTCAAAGTTGACTACTTCAGTCGACAAATAATTGAAAAAGTATTGTCTGCCAAAGTAGTTTACATAGGAATGTGAACAGAAAAATTGTTGGGCAGATTAGATTTATGTAATATTAAAGAATACTAAACTTTTATTATTTGTCTTTATTATTGATACCTAAAAAACTATTTCTAAGCTCAAAATGACCAAGATGTATAATACCATTATCCAGCAAGTTTTATCATTTCTTCAGTTTAAACAATAATATAATTCCTAGCATTTGAAAAAATTGGTCCAGATATATATATCCTCATATAGTATGTGTTGTATACTTTATAGTGTTTTATTGACATTACTGTTCTTTTTATTGTCAAAAGACATAGTCACATAGTAGCGTTATCCGAGCTATACATGATTGTAACTATTAAACTATTTTCAGTCATTCTGAGGTGGTTGTGGTTAATCAGACACTGCCCACTTGTTCTTATAGTCAATCATAATGTATAAATCACAATCCCTAATGTTATCACTAAAAATAAATTCATTTTGTTTTTGTTATAAAGGTTATAATATATAAAAGGCTGTATACAGAATTTATGATATGAGTTAGAGTAAATAAATTAGTAAAAAATATTAATTTTTAAAATCAATAAATTTTTAAAATGTACATAAAGATATCAATATTATTGTTTTGTATTTCTGCAGACTCCTTATGAAGCATTGGGTTGCAGCTGCAGCATGTGATGCTGCTGTAGTTCTATTAATAAATGAATGTTTATGAAACTTAATGCCTCATAGTTGTAGGGACAAGTGGATTCATGCTTTTTCAAAAAGCATTAATGTAAAATGAACACAAGGAAAAGAGTTACATATTGTCCACCCTTGTCTGAGATTTAGTAATAAAAAGCTAGAATCATGAATACAGAATATTCTAAGATTTGGGAGATTTTGGTTCAACTCACTCTCTTCCTACTGATATTTTCTCTTGTGCTGTACTCAGGATTTTGAATTTTAAGACAGACTCTCTTCACCTGAAAGATTTGTGTACTCCTACCTCCATTACTCCATCTCACCTTGTGTCATACAAGTTTGGTAAAATAAAAAATTGAAAAATTATGTTTAATATTGATGTAATTTCATAAATGAAGTAATGTTATAATAATAAAAGTAGATATGCATTTAAATGAGAGTAGAAGTACATAAAATGTCCTCCTTCTATCACAAAGCAGAGGTTACATTGTCAAGTGATTGAGTTGCAAACGTTAATTTATCCCTGATAATTGTGCATTGATTATAGTCAAATGCATTGACTCACCTGGTTTTATAAGCAGGAGCTAAAAAGTCCTCAGTTCAGTTGAATTTTCAAAATATGGCCAAACAGCAGTTTTTTGGTTTTTTTTAATTTTTTAAGAAGTTCTTGATTGGGTCGAGAATATAATCTGCATGTATCCTGTGTCTAGAGAGATTCTCTTTTTACCAAGATATATAGAGGATGTCCCCACTGAATGAACAAGTGTTGAGTCTTCTCTGAATCTAATGGAGTCCTTTTGATCTACAATCCATAAAAGAAAACACATGCAAGTAGAACTGTCATTCCTTGATCTTTGAATGTTCTCTCTCTCTCTTTCTCTCCCTCTCTGCAGATTTGGCTTTGTGAAGCAACTGAAAAAACATCTTGATTGTATCTTGGGTCCACTAATTGATGATGAAATTGAAAAGCATTCATCTGAGATTCAAGTAAACAGCATCACCCAACAGGGAGATCAGACACTAGTAGAGAAAATCACAGACAAGATTATCCACTCTAAACTGTATGTATTTGAGGAAGAATTTTATTTCATTACAATTCAATATTAACTCATTGTACCCCAACAGGTCTTTAAAATATATGTAAAGCTAAAATTATGTTTTGTAGGAAGTGTTACATTACCATAAATTTTGCATGATCATGAGTAAAAAGAGTTTTAAAATGCAAATGAAGTTAAGAAAAAAAGCTGAATCCTCATAACCAAATATCTTTATACATGTCAAAGTTATCATCTTGTTTTTCTTGATCATCACATTTTAGTTGTTGAATTCTCCAGCCTTCTTCTGTTTGGCAATACATCAAGTAATCTTTAAACAGAATCCTTTGTATTGTTCTTACTTTTTAAAAAATGATGGTAGCATTTAATTTCTAAAATCTCACAGTTCTATTCTATAAAGACATGTTTGAGTTTTGAAGAAACTGACAACATTGAAATACAAGGAATTTTTATGTTTTTCATACTTCAGTGTAATAAAATTTTAAACTATTTTTGTCCATTCCTACCAAGGATATTTTTCATTTTGATGACTAAACACTGAAGATCTTTTGAATATTTTTGTTACAAAATGAATGACTGTTCCTTAAGCAGTCATACAGTTATAACCTAATGTGAAAGGCTGGTACACAACTTGCAAGTTTAGAATGCATAGCTCCATTAAATGCACATTTGCATTAAACAGAATAAGAATGTTTGTCAGAATATGTTGGAAAATAATGAGTGCCTTATCTCAGAACTTCACTTAATATGGTTTGGTCTCAAACATTTAATCAAATATTTTTACCATTGTTTTCACTAACATGCTTATTTTCAAAAACTAAACCTGTTTTAAATTGGGCTTATTTTCAACTGTTTTAGTTAATTAGAATGTTTAATTTTTTTTCCTTGAATTTGTTAAATGAACATTTCATATCATATTCAGTGATCACAATTTCATATGGCACTTGATCACTTAAGACAACCAGTTATGTTTTTAAGCTGGGTAGTTATTTGTGTGTTGAGGATCATTATTATATTGTAAAGTGAAATGTCATCTTCCAAAACAGCTTTATCATCATTTAAAATAATATAATATTCTTCTTTTTTCTTATGTTTCTGCCAAATTTAAACAGATATAGAATTTCCTCTTATAAGATACACACACTTGATGAACAATTTTGTAACTTCTTTTTAAGACAAAATGTTTTCTTTAGAAAATTTCTAATAACAAAATTCTGCTTTTATTTTGTCTTAAACTCGGACTGGAAATGTATTTAATGTCAAAAGATCACCAAATTGCAGATAAATGTAGACATCCTGTATATAATTTCGTAAATAAATTAAATGAACTTTTATTTTAACAAAGTGAATTATATTGTCATATTTTATAAAAAGAATAAATATTTTAAAACTGAAACTGTCTTGTTGACTGAAATATTTTTGTGGTTTTGGTTTCAGTTTTTACAATTTATTTTATTCTCTCCTTTTTAACCCATAGAAATAAGTGTCTTTGTTTCTCCTTCTATTGCAGACATACAGAATTCAACCGTAGGCTAAAAACAAATATCACTGAAGCTCTAGAACAATTACAGAAGAATTTCAATGCTGAGTTTGTTGTCAGTAAACAGAACAACACTGACTACTTCCTCTCTTGCAACAAACCAGATGATTTCAGTGATGAGGAAGGCTCTTATGCCACTTCATTTAATCAGGTAAAATATATATGAAACATACAAAAAAATGGTTCCTAGAATTATCTGATGATCAGGTGTTTATTATTGGTCATTTTTCATTCAAAAAATTAAAAATAGATTCATAGATAATTTTTTTTATTTTCACCGGTATTTCATCTTTTTCTTTCTTTTTATCATAACATTTTTGAGAATTCAAAATGAAGTCACTTCAGATATAGAGATGCAAATGTAAATCTTTCTACAGCTGTTATTTATTGTGAATTTTCACAATTTAATGGCTGATAAAAAGATTACCTAAATTGTTGTTATAAAAAGAAAACAAAAAACATATATTTATCTATGGAGAGCACTGCTAATACAAGATATGATGGTTACAGATGGATGCCTGGTTTATATGCTTTGCACAGTATTTTGGTTATAATTTAGATTTTTAATATGAACATTTGTTTTGCAGGGGAGCCTCGTTTTTATATGCCATGAAAAACTACTTGACTTGTGTAACAGTTTGGCCAAAGGAAGAGATTATAATGTAAGTAAAATTATTTTTTTCAAAATATTTTCTCTTCTTTTGATCATGTTTCGTCAACAACAAATGATGGGCTTTTTAATACATTTGACAAAGTTACTTACATTTCAAAATATTAAGTGTGTGCAAAAGTTACCAACACTCTTTTTTTCACAAACTAGAGACTGAATACATATGTAATACAATCACTAACACCATTCTCTTTAAGGTATGAGATATTTTTTGGTTAGCTTCTTTTTCTTTTGTGTCATATCTCTTCAGGGTTTAGGTATCATGGTTCTCTACAACTTTTGTTGATCTAAGTAAATTTTTACCCTTTACCATCCCCCCCTTTCGTACTTTGTTCCTTTCACACAAACTCATTAGTTAGGTTATTTGCTGTTCATTACATCCTGTGAATTTTAATTCCTCCAGGCCCACTTTCTTCATATGTCTCAGAAATTTCAGTTATTTTTGATTGTAAGTTACTTGTAGTTCCTATTTTTCTTAAAACACCCCCATTGCTCACATGTTCTTTCCATTTAAGCATTCACATTTCTGTCACTTTAAGTCTTTTCTTCTATGGAGAGATTTTCCAGCATCCACTACCATATAGAAGATTAAATATTACATAACAGTTCAGCACTGTTTGTTTGTAATAAAGTTTTCCTTTATCTTATTTCTCTGCTTATTTTCTGGAAAACATCTTTTTCTATTTCTGTGTGTTATCAGATGTTTGTATTTCATTTTCTGTCTGATGTTAGTACACTCTCCAGGTAGTTGAATTTTTCTACCTGCTTGAATTTGACATTCCACATAGCCCACATCTTGGACTGTCTCTTTTGCAGACAATCATGCATCCTTAATAGTCTTTTTTTTCTTGCTTTCTTTTATTACTCTGTCTTAAAGTTCTTTCAGTTTCCCTTTTGAGTCTGCCATCAGAACACTGTTATCCTGGTTACTTATGTTAGGATTATATCTGCTGATTATAAATCTTGGTAGGTCTTCTATTAGGATTGTCTTGTTCTATAGGTTAAAAAGATCTGGTGAGAAAATGCATCCATGTCTTACTCCTCTTTCTATTATTGTCTATTCACGGAACTCATTCTCTATCCATATGCACACTATTCGTTCCCATTGGAAGTTGTTGATTACTTTAATATATTTTCTATGTTAAGTAGCTCTTTGTGCTGTGTGGATAGTGTAATGGATTTCAACTTGAAATCAAAAAACTGAATTCAAATTCCAGTTGAGTGTATTACATTCACTTATTAACAAATACCCTTGGGAAAGGTATGAATGCATCTCTTTTCTTCCAGCTATGGGTTAAATAGCAGGGAAGATTGGTTTCTATAGGCATGGTTGGCAATCAGTCTAGGAAAAGGACACCTCTGAATTCAAAACTGTACATGATCCTGATACTGCAATAGAGATAATTTAAACAAAATCTCTGTTTTGTCCAAGGTTACTTGACCAAAAACCAACTCATTGAACAAGTGTTGTATAAGGATACATGTAATGGATTATGCAACTATTGCATTTTATTGAATTACTTTATGTTGTATCTTATCTAATGCTGTTGTGTAATTTATGACACATAAGTAGAAGTTTTTCTGTAATTGTATTACTCATTCTGATAGCATTCTGATCATAAAACAGCATTTCTTGTTCCAGTATCTGTTTTTGTTCTATTTCCAGTTCTATTTATATTACAAGCTCCATTCACTAGGATCCTAATGATTATGTTTAGTAATGTTGCTCATTGAGCTGTTTGTCTAATAGGGTTCACATTTATTCGCTTGTTATGAAGATTGATCTACTGAGGTTATTATTATAATTAATATTACAGTCCCATCTGTTCTTTGTTTCTGTTCATCTTGGTTACTGCCAATCTTACTTATGATTTTAATATTAATAATAGGTCTACATATTTAGGTTTCTCTTCTTTGTTCTTATGGAAAATATCTCATGTCTTCTTTCTATGTTTGTAGTATCTTTTGAGCATTCTCTTTTTAGATGCTATGCATCCTAGTAAAAAGCATATTTTCTCTCTAGTTTTTCTTTCATCTTTATATGTATGTCTTCTGTATCTATGTTCCATAGTGTTTCTATTCCTGCACACTGTTGAGTCAGTCATCTTTTTGCCTGCTTGCATCTCTTTTTAATCTTTCTGCTTAACACCCAGCATTTGATAACTTTCCTTGACATTATCTGCCCTTTCTCATTAGTTAAAGAATTTCATATGTCATAGGATGACTTTGTGTGCTGATGTCACTCTTTCTTCCCTTCAAGTTTTCCTCTTTGAATTACTGACCTCTTCTAAACTTTTATATCTCTTTTTCACTATATTACAATACTTCTTCAATTATCTGGACATGAAATAGAGAAAAATTGAAATCTTCCAAACATTTTTCAGTTATCCAAACTTAGATCCATTCTAATACAAGAATTTGGGAATTTAGAAAAACATACTCAACATTTGATAAATGTAACAATTATGTTTGTGAAATGGTTGTGCTTTCAACCAGAAGTTTTACCCTTACAAATATTTCTACTTTAATCCTACTTCAGGAGTTAGTGTTGTGTCATAAATAGGAAAGTTTGACACACATATAGAAAACAAGAAGTATTTTATTCTGGAGAATAATATGGTACACAGTTGAGAACACAAACTAATGTAATAAATCATTAACTACTCTTGGTCAGTAAGAGTGAGTGCTGTTTAAATTGTCTTAGCCCAGTCCATTTTGTTTCAACTACTCGGCAACAGTTAACAACAGAAAAACCTAAGGCCAGCCAGAAACGGACAAAAATTGACATTTCTCATCTAAAGTAAATTGGGTAAAACCTTGAACAAAGTGTTTGAAAATGTTATTTGATGATATAAACGCTAAATTTCTTTCAGAAAATGATTATTTTTCACTCTTTTTTGTAAATTTTGATATTCAGTTATTCAGATTATTATTTAATTATTTAAACATATTTTTCATCTCATCTCAAGGTAGCCAGATAGCCAAGGAAGTAATGCAGTATATGTCTTTTTAGTGTCATTCCAGAGTTCTAATTTACTTTAGGTGTTGCTTTCGTTTATTTTAATTATGAAAAGTTTATACTTGCAGTTAAATATTTAATAGGTGATCCAAAATATGTTTTCTCACACCTCAGCAATCACAAGTACCAGGGAATGAGTTTAATGGACACATAAAATATAAAAAAGTTTATTAGTAAAAAAAAAATTAAAACAATAGAGATTGTGTTAATAAAAGAAGAAAAGTGTGAAGGGAAAGAGAGAAAGATCTGTAGAATCAGAAAGGAATAGATTCCCAAATAGGGAAGTTTGACCAATATCTAGAGTGGGGGCGGTTGGTGAAATTGGGATGTGTGGAAAATTGAAATAAAAGATTGAGAGTATGGAGTAAGAATGTTATATCAGACTCATTTGGGAGTTAGAGAATTATTTCATGACCATATAAGGAGATTTGTGTATGTCTCAAAATGTTTGCGCTAATTAAGGTCAGGTGTTATTGGAAAAAGTTATGGTTCTTTGTTAAAATTATAAGCAAGTTGATACATTTTAATGCCAAACTACTCTGAGCAGGCATAAGGACATTATTCACAGAGCACAAGGGAATCCAAACTTCAATTTCTGTGGTGAACAATTACATAGAAGTAAGCGAGTCAGAGTGGCTTGCTTCTGGTGCAAAGGTAAATAAATTCCTTACCTCAGTATGCAACATGTAGCAGTGATGTTTTGTTCCTTTGAAAATAGCATGAATCTCCCCTAACCTTTAGATTATATCAGAAGTGTATGATTCTGTAATGTTGGCCTTTATACAGTTTAGCATTGTTCGACCAATAGCAATCCACATACTAATTGGTCGAACTGGAGGATGACATTTGATTGTGTGAATGAAGATGAAGTGATGAACGTTGATTGGTCAGTGGTCTGTGGCTTTGGCATAATAAAAGAGGGCTGAAGCAGTGAAAAGTGTATAGTGATTTGGTGATGTGTGTGCCAATTCAAGAATGGTGTCACAAGAAGGAGCATTTGGTGTTGTACAAGCAGCATTTGAGGAATACAACCTCATTTAACTACAAACTATTTCAGCTTTCTTCCCAATCATAGGGGACAGAGGTTTCAATATTTGGCAAAAAACTGAATTCAGTGGGGCTGCTACTTATCTACCAATTGTAGAATAGGTTGAGAATGTGGAGTTGCTTTGCTGAATTGGACAGATGAAGTAGGTAAGCAATGGACATAACCCACTATAGTAGTAGACATTTTCTGGACCCTCTCGGTTGATGATATGATGACCACAATGTCACCAAGATTCTACCAGTGTAGTTTGACATTTGGAATCATTTTTTTCTGAACAGAGTTCACCACTTAAAATATTGATTGACAATGACACAGCATTCATGTGCCAGCATTTCAAGCACTTTTGAGTAATTGTGATATATGTTTGCAGTTCCATTGCGACTATGCACCTACTGGGAGTGGCATAGTAGAAAGAAGTCACCAAAGCATCAAAACGTTTGTAGATAGAAAGCAGTGCCCTATACCGGAGGCAGTCTACTGGTATAATGATGAAGAAAATGAAGCAGATATTGCCACTGCACTTATGAGTCAGGACTGTCAGCAGCTGACTAAGGAGCAGAAGTCAGACACAGACCAGATTAAGCAGGCCCTTATAACCACATATACAATGGATTAGTGCAATGCTTTTGATCAATTTTACCCAGGGGAACCATAGATGAATTTTTAGCAGAGTTAAAACATTTAGCTCTGCTGATTGGAGGCAATTGCTCGAGCAATGGATGGCATGCTCATTCATTTCTGGACTGCCACAAGTTAAGCAACTTCTTTGGGAATCATCCAGAACAGACATCATGGCTTTAGGCCAGCTTTTGACTCAGGCTCAGGCTATCACCAATAGCAAGGAGCCTGATGAGTCAGTCACAACATCGGCTCAATAAACGCATAGTGACACTACTGTGTGGAAGGGCAGCATCATTTGTTTTAA